GAAATGTCCCTGGTTTGAATCCCGTAGAACGCATGGGTGTCTTATCTGTCCTTCTTACTGTGAGGACAACGTTGGTCCAAGTAATATGATGCCTCTGAAAAAGTGGTCAGCAAATCTGCCTTTCTGATACCCGGTTGAGCAATAACAAAAAGAAAGAAAAATTCTGGAAGAAACTGTGTTTTCTATCTCATTGTTAATATATTCATTTCAACTGATTTGAATCTATATTTTTTTCTTAAATTTTGTTTCATAAGGAATTTCTTATCGAATGGTCTTATACTCTTTTCAAGGTTTAATTTAGAGGTAGTTAAAGTGGAACCTACACCAGACTTTGAGAGGACAGGTCGGTGGATAGTATCAGTAAAGAGTACTCAAACGGAAGCAGTTACTAAAGAAACGTTTGATGGAGTTATGGTATGCATTGGCCATCATGTATTTCCAAATATCCCCACTTTTCCAAATCAAGCCAAGTTTAAAGGATCGATTACACACACACATAGCCTCAAGTCTTGTGATCATTATAAGGGAAAAACCGTCGTTGTTGTTGGAATAGGAAATTCTGGAGTTGATGCTGCAGTTGATTCAACGTTTGTTGCAAAGCAGGTGAGTATTTGAAGTTATAAGCATTAAATTATAGTCACACTCTGCACACCTAAAAGAAGTTTCAAAATGAAGGCTGTAAGAATTCTGCAACAAAACTGTAGGAGTCAGTATTGGATAAGAAACATTGCTCAATGCAATATTAATTTTCATAAAAATTAAAACAGCCAACCTCTTTGAGAAAATGAGTAATGAGATCATTTAAGCATCATATGAGATCATTTAAGCTCTTATTCTTTAATTATTTCATAGTTACCATAATTTAGAAAACATGATCCTAAGGATATAATAATTTCGATTTTCATTTTATTTTATTTCAAGCTAAACTACAGCTGAAAATCGTGACGTTAAAGCATTATAAAACATATATTCTTAGAAAATAACATGTGTGTAACAAAAAATGAGTAATGATAAAAAATACCCCTAAGAGTATTAACTAAGAAATGCAAGATCATTCTAGCTCTTATTCTTCAACAGTTTCATAGTTTCAATAATTTAGCAAACATGATCTTAATGTGTAAATAATTTCGATCTTCATTGTATTTTGTTTCAAGATAAACCACTGCTGAAAGTCGAGAAGTTAACTACTCGGTAATTAAATATTACTTTAAGTAATATTAATAAAGTTAAAGTAAAGTTCATATATTCTTAGAAAATAACATGTATGCAACGAAAAATGAGTAATGAGAAAAAATACTTCTGAGAGCATTAAAAAATAGAAGATCAATTAAGCTCTGATTCTTTAAATTACACTCCTCAAAAGTGAAATTGCAAC